TGCTTGTATAGAGGCCAGACTAGAAAAATACTGTTGTTGATGGGAAGATAAAACTAATACAGCTTTTCAGTTGGTGATATCAGTGATTGGAAGGGAAGGGGTTAACTGACATCTGAATGATATTAGTAAAAAAATGGGCTTTAGTTAATTAGGAATTGTGGTGAGAGTCAACATTAACATTAGTTAATCTAATTAGGAACAAGCATTTAAAATTAAGAAATATAACTACCTTGTATCTTTGTTTTACATAAATGAAAATGCCTTTTTCAATTTATTTCATGACCCTGGCAGGGTTATTTGTCACTTTTTAGTTACTAGTGAAAGTATTTGGGTATGCTTTAAAACAAAATGAACAGAGCCTGTTTTTGTTGCAGTAAGCAATTTAGCACTTGTGAAACCAGACAAAGCAAAAGCAGTAGAGAATTATCTTATACAGATGGCAAGATTTGGACAGCTAGCTGGAAAGGTGAGTTACATTTTTGTAATTTTTTCTGCATATATTTTCAAGCCTAATTCACTCTAAAAAGATGGTATGTTTTTTATATCTGTACATTAACTGGAAAAGGCAATTGAGAACTTCTAAATAGTACTATATAATTCCATCAAACACCTTTTCTGAGAAGGGAAAATGTGATTCAGTTACTTGATACTAAACATCTCTCAGAATGTGTTTATATGGCTTTTCTTTTGCTTTCCTAGGTATCGGAACAAGGTTTGATAGAAATACTTGAAAAAGTGAGTCAGCAAACAGAAAAGAAAACAACAGTAAAGGTGAGCTTTATTTCCTAAATGTAATTTTAATTTGTTACAAAATAGAGCAGAAACCTTACATGTATTGGACCATTTCAGTTCAGGGTAGAACTTAATTTCGTATTTAGCACCAATGTGTATAAGAGACAGGCGGGGGAGGCCCCGGCGGGGCCGGCCCAGCCATCTCCTCTCCTGCTGCACGAGCAGCCGTCGCCTTTAGGGCGCTTTCGGCCTGTCTCCTGCTACCTGCCTTGGCTGCCGCCTTCCAGATTCAGCACATAAGCCGTCCCTCCCCGACATTTTCTGTGCCACTCACAATCTTGGGGATTACCAGCATCAGTCTTTCCAGCCATCGCTGTTTCTGAGCTGAAGTGTATCCGTCTGTTCCCGTGAGGGGATCTTCCATACTGATGATGGGCCGTGTTTCCTCTCTCCATGTGGTTTCGTATTCTGCTTTCACACTTTGAAATGTTACCTAGAAAATTTGAGGTGCAGATTCAACATAAAATTCAGGTTTTTTCTCTTTGTTTCGTTACTTGCTTCTGAATAGTGACCTCAGTTGCCAGTATTGGTCCCAAAATACCATGCCTGGGATTGTGTTTTCTTCTGTGTTGATAAATAATGAAGTGTTACATTGAATTTCATTTGTCCTTGGCTTACTTTAGTGGGTTTAAAATGCTTTTGTCTGTTTTCTGGGCTTTAGGAAAGTTATCTTAGACCTAATAGAAAGGTCTTTTAATTCCAAACCTACAACAATCTGTGGATAGATCCAGTAGCACTAGACATCACACTAGACTGTGTTACTGCTTTGTGGGGAAAGCAGAGAATGGCAGATTTATTTGCTAGGGTGGCAGATTCTTACTTGCAGGATCTCGTCCATGGTCAGGCGGGTTTAGCAGGCAGGTTTAGCTTACGTTTGACTCTGCTAGAATATTTAAATTTACTGTCCTGTGTGGAACGTTTTTGGATGATCGTACTTATTTTGTTCCCATTCTTTAGGATCCTTCCAGTGATCCATCTCAACAGGAAGCAAAACAGAGGTATAAATGAGAACTATTGACTTGTGGTCTTACATCTAATAAATTTGAAGCTTGCTTTTTTTTCTTTTTAGTATTTAATTTCTTTGGAATACCCACCTGAACTTTTTTGTTGTTGTTGGGAAAACCACCAGCAAAGAAGCTGAAATGCTGAAGATTTAATCCAAGGAGAGCTAAAATCTGATTGATCCAAGTGTGGCTCCCAGGCCACGACTATATTGGATGATCTACAACAGAGCTGTCAGGCAGTCTGAACCCTGATGGGGTGGGAGGGTGTGAAGGAGAACAGCAGTATCAGCTCATTTTCACTTTGGACTCAGCTGAATGCAATAATGTTACGACCCTTAGTGATATAATAGGATGCTTTGGGCAAGCAGCATCACTCCCACTGTCATCTGCTTTGGGAACTCAGAAGCCTTGGCTTTTCAATATTGTTAAGAGTTGGTCATAAGAAATCTTGAAGGCTGGCAGAACTCTTCCCAAACTGGAGTTTTGTCTGAGTGATGAATTTGGGTTTGGCTCTCTTGGTACAATGGGAACGTTTTCCTAGTTGATTTGATTTTTCTGGGACATCTGTTGCAGTTAAAACTGTGAATCAAAATTATTTGTGCCAGAGCTTAGAATGGAAACAATGTTTAGTATTTGCACTAAGTGGAAAATTGAAAAAAAGTTTTCAAAGAGCTAGACTTTGCACACAAAGTTTGTATTAACTGCAATGGATAAACTGAAATTCGAGTTTTGCAAACATTGTAAGTATATGGAGACTTACTGAGAAATTCTAAATAAACAGTGAGGTTTGGTTCTGTCTTGCAATTGAATGGAATATTCCTTATGCCTGCTCTACCATACACTGCCTTTGGTGAAATTCCACAATGGAACCGAATGCAAAATCTTTACAGTGCGTAACATGGCTTTTATCTTTTAAGATGTAATAATAAACAGTAAGAAGGTGTAAATAGTAAACTCCATCTCAGTTTCTTGGAAGATGTCAGCTATGTAACTGTCAACACATATAAGCTACCCATGACAGAAGATGCTATACAAGAAATCATGTAAATGTAAGGTTTGAAGGGACCTCAAGAAACCACTTAAATGTATTGCAAGTATTCTGTAGTTTGCTGGTTTGTGTATATTATTTTAGGTATTTGGAATCCCACTTCTAATGTGTGTTAATTTTTCATTATAGGGAAGCAGAGATAAGAAATACTATTTTAGCTCAAGTTCTTGATCAAGCAGCTCGTGCAAGATGTGAGTATCCAAGTAACTTTCTAATAAAGAGTTCTTAACTACTGTACCCTAGCTTTGCTCAAATCAAGCACATATATGCTTGTATAGAGGCCAGACTAGAAAAATACTGTTGTTGATGGGAAGATAAAACTAATACAGCTTTTCAGTTGGTGATATCAGTGATTGGAAGGGAAGGGGTTAACTGACATCTGAATGATATTAGTAAAAAAATGGGCTTTAGTTAATTAGGAATTGTGGTGAGAGTCAACATTAACATTAGTTAATCTAATTAGGAACAAGCATTTAAAATTAAGAAATATAACTACCTTGTATCTTTGTTTTACATAAATGAAAATGCCTTTTTCAATTTATTTCATGACCCTGGCAGGGTTATTTGTCACTTTTTAGTTACTAGTGAAAGTATTTGGGTATGCTTTAAAACAAAATGAACAGAGCCTGTTTTTGTTGCAGTAAGCAATTTAGCACTTGTGAAACCAGACAAAGCAAAAGCAGTAGAGAATTATCTTATACAGATGGCAAGATTTGGACAGCTAGCTGGAAAGGTGAGTTACATTTTTCTAATTTTTTCTGCATATATTTTCAAGCCTAATTCACTCTAAAAAGATGGTATGTTTTTTATATCTGTACATTAACTGGAAAAGGCAATTGAGAACTTCTAAATAGTACTATATAATTCCATCAAACACCTTTTCTGAGAAGGGAAAATGTGATTCAGTTACTTGATACTAAACATCTCTCAGAATGTGTTTATATGGCTTTTCTTTTGCTTTCCTAGGTATCGGAACAAGGTTTGATAGAAATACTTGAAAAAGTGAGTCAGCAAACAGAAAAGAAAACAACAGTAAAGGTGAGCTTTATTTCCTAAATGTAATTTTAATTTGTTACAAAATAGAGCAGAAACCTTACATGTATTGGACCATTTCAGTTCAGGGTAGAACTTAATTTCGTATTTAGCACCTCTCTTGCCTACAGTGGTAAGTGCTGGGACTCAGCCACAGCAGTCCCTCCGGGCACTGGGATGTCGGTGTTCTGTCGGGAGGAGGCTCTGCCCTGGGCCTGTCCTCTACCAGTATGCAGGCAGGGGCAGGTGATGGGGTGAACGTTCTGCTCCCATGCAACCTATTCATTGTTAAACAGAGTGGAGTTTGGAAGGATTTGCTGTGACCCTTCTGTTTTCATGTCATGTATCTCATTTTAGTTCAACAGAAGGAAAGTATTGGATTCTGATGAAGAGGACGATTATTAATGCTACTGTAAGACTGTCTGCCAAACAAAAGGCCCGGAGAAAGGCAACATGCTGTTGTCAGGCAGAATGCAAGATCTGAAAATGTTTACGCTTCTTCTTTTTTTTTTTATTATGAAAAGGCCAACATATGAACTTGTCTTGTAAAATAAATCTGAGAAGGGGATTTTATAACTTAAACTTTTGTAGTATAAGAGGCCTGAGCAGTTTGGGGTTCCCCACTGCTTCATTAGCATGAACATTTTGTTGCCCTTTAGTGTGTAAGCTATGCTTTCAGCAACTGCACACACTTAACTTGCTGCTATTGGAGATACCATAACATGAGAGGAGCTCAGTGTAAAGCTGGGAGCAGCCACTCTAGGAGTGTAAAGACTCACCTCTGGGCTCTAAATCACAGAACTGTTAGAAAGGAGGTTTCCTGAGCCCCTGCAGGAAGCCTATCCAGCAGCCCACTGGCTGTCAAGTCCTCACTGAAATCTTACAAAACAAAGGGAAGGTATCAAAGTAGTGTTTGATCAGGAGACTTTATATCAGGCAGTCTGTGTAAAGAAATTGTAACCAGCATACAATTGAACCATTCCCCTACGAAATCATCAAGCTATCTCAAAAAAAGCAAGTTAACTGTGTAATACAGCACTGTTGAGACACTTGGTATCGTATATTCTTAAAACTACCTCCATTTTTATCAAATGGCTGGAGTGTTTCTTACCTTGGAAAAAAAATACTGTTTTCCTAAACTTTCTGCAACTCCTGCATGCATAAATTAAAACTGAACTTGTGCTATACGTTTATTCAAAAAATATGGTTATAGAAATAAGTAGCATAAATACTGTAACATCCCAATAAACACTCTACCACCACAAAACCCTTTTCTGACATAATTTAACAGGAACATGTATGATCCCAACTGCAGTGCTTTTTGGAACAGAATAAAATTGTTTAAAGTGAGCACTAGTGGGTGGTTTTCATCTTGTGTGAATGTGATTTAAAAGTATTTAAACAGTTGGTTTTTTTGTTTCATGTGGACTAGACTGGGCATTTTGCCTGTGTGTGTTTGGGATTCCTTAACTTCAGTAATATTGTGGATGTATGCTGAATTTCTTTAGACTAATGACCCTTTACCAGTGTGAAGAGTTTCAAGCCAAGGTGTGGCGATAGATGGTTTAAAAGACTTCCCATTAGGGCTACAGCTATATCCTAAGCATCCATGCTTCCCATTCCTAAATTTACCTAAGCTTTATTGCTTCGCTGTTCTCCAGAATGGCTGTTCCAGATTCTCAGTTGTCCAAATGTGAAGTAAATGCTTTGGATTTATTTTAACAACCTTTTGGAGATTAAACTGGACTGTACAGTAACATGCTCTGCAGGCAAATTGTGTTATGAAGCTGACTTCAGTGTATTTGCAATACAGATTGCTAGGGCAAGCTTCCAGGGGTACTGCCTTCAAATACTATTCCAGTTTAGCTTTTGATCATCATATCTTTAAATATTAAGGCAGGTTTTTTTAATTACAAGCTTGGTTAAGCCTGTCAAAGAAAAGTTGCAAACTACTTATTTTACCTAAATAATTTGTTAGTCATTATCTTTCCATCATTTAGATTATATTGGAACTGTTTGGCATTAAAGTGGGTTGGGGTTTTTTTATACATAAGCTACACATCCAAAAGGCCTGGAAATAAGCTTTATCCTAGACTGAACACTGAATAAAACTGAAGCATGGCTTGGTCAGTTAAGTAGCCTCAGGTTTACAAGGACAACTGTTCTGATACTGTAATAGAATAGAAAACTCAGTTTAATTCTAATAAATTTATACTTTTTCTGTAAAACTCTAAAACAATATATTCTGTTACATGTTTTAAAAGGTGGATTTTGTTTAAAAAAAGGCAGTAGGCAATATGCATGGAGTCTGTATTAAGTCACCTGAGTAAGCTACTGTGTTGGGTTTTTTCTTGCAAATTTATTTCATTTGGGGAGGGGGGGGGGCAAGTTTTTCACAGGCAAGTGCTACTTTAATGCTTGGCTGATTCGTAAATTTAAAAAATTAACCAGTAATTATGTAACTGCTGATACCAAGGCTGAAACTTGGGAGCATGGCAGATGGGTCCTTGCTTGCCTAGAATACAACAAAATACTTTATGTATTATGTAACAGTATTGAACAAGTTGTCTTCCATAGCCTGCTGTATTAAAAATTTGATTTTAATAGAAAAAAAGGATCTAACTCAGAGCTCACATTCTCTGATATTTATCTCTAACCCTTTTTAAAGGTATTTCCTAAGCTATCTTAAAACTTGTTTCCAAAGCTATTCAACCATGCTGTGATTAAGGATCAATAAAAAAAGACTTAACACTGAGCTTAGTGTTGTTTTGCTAACTTAGGTTCTGTAGTTACAGCAGGATATTCTGTACTTACACTCTGTAGCACAGTATCACCAGTTATAAGCTAATAAACTGATTTTTGTCATCTATATTGTCAGGCAGCCTTAAGACAAGAATCATTTAGTTAAATGCATAGTATAATTAAAACATAGTGAGATTTTGCTTATGCAGTTTGGAAATCAGATCCATGAATATTTACTTGTATCTTAAACTTTGTAAGTAATCTCTATATTATTTTTGCTACAGGTAAGGGTGACTTACTCTAGGTCATCTTTATAGTATCACAAGATGAAAAAAAACAGTTTGTATCTCCTCTTGCTCTTATGGCTTGTAATAGCTTATCCTACTTTTTTTTTTTTTTTTTAATGGGGATGTAGTGCTAGAGAAGGAAGTTAGGTGCAAATGTTCAGTTTCGGTACAGTTCTATATTGTACATCTCTGTGTCTTAAACACAAAACCACACAATCTAATAATGGTAATCCATGAATGCAGGAGGGGAGAAGGTCATACTGAACTTGAGGGTAAATTCCAACAGATCCCTCAGTTTGCACATAGACACACAAGGTGAAGCCTTCAAATGCCTACAAAAACAAAGCAAGGAAAACTGCATAAAAGACGCAATGCTTAGAAAAAAGGACTCAAAAGAAAACAGCATTTTCAAGTTATTTTACTAGCTTTTTCTTTCCATCATTTAGCACAAATCCAAGGCACATTAGAAAATCAGAGGAATTCATAAATTAATAGAAAAATAAACACAAACCTCATCTCCAAATGTCCATATGTGCACTTACTGGACATTTTATCTCTTAGATTAAAAAGTTATTTGAAAAAATCACCAGTATGTCCTCCAGCTTTGTACTTCGCCAGGCAGTTTACTAATACCACAGTTAAAAGAAACAATTATTCATACAAATAGTTTATGGAATAAAATGCAAGCTGGATGTGATGAGCCAAGAAAAAAAAAAATACTGCACACAGAAACCCGGCTTGTGCTATTTACATGTTCTCCTACCATAACCGAAACAGTAGAAAATGACGTTCAAATCTAAGCAGCCATCTCGTAGTTACTTGTGAGCTTTCAGTTCTTCACTGATCACCTCTAGGAATGGGGTAGTATTTGGCCTATTCCAACAAATGCTTACTGATGCAAGCAATACCTTTCATAATTGGAATTTCACCTTTTTTAGAGAGCACTCCAGAATAGGGTCCTAAGCAGTTTTGTCTGCAGATGTTGCCCAGGTTCAGAATCATGAATATTTGTGCGTTTTTGCATGACTTGCTTTAGAGGAAGAAACAAAAAAAACCCAACAATTTTCTGTGTCCTCATACATGCTTGCATCTACTTCCTCTTTTTTTTTTTTTTTGGATTAGGCTGTGAACAGTGACTCCAAAGTGTAGCTTTGTCAAGGGCTTTCTACTTTTTCCCCAGTATCTTGTCTCCTGTGTAAGAACTTGATCTTACAGATCCAATGCAGGGGAGCATTGCAAAGAAATTAGCAAGGATTGCATCCCTTCACATTAATAGCATGTATAATGCAGCGTTGAAGATGTTACGGACTATTATTTTCCCAGCTACTGAAATATACAGAAATATATACTATAATGGTTTGTAACATTACAATAAAAATAGACATTTCAATTACCTCTGGCAATAAATACCTTGATATCCAATATATATTTATATATATATATAAATATATATATATTTATATATACTTATCCAATGTAGTGTTAAAAACTGAAAATGCAAAAATTCAAAGACATTTAAAAACAAAGTGGGTAGCTGAAAAATACAATACAGGGTTTCGTTTGGTTTACTGTTACATATAATTTTTTATTAAGTGCTAAGTAGAATAGGAAAGTAATTTTGCTGTCTACATCTCAGCACATCCCTGTTTGTTGAGATCAGTAATGATCTGGCTGTGTAGTTACCTCCAACATAAGCAGAGGATTCAGTCTTCCAAAGTGCTAGGAACATTCTGTTTCTGCTGAAAAGTCATCCTCGTGTTCTGTTCTGAAGGCAAGCTTGCAAGCATCACCCAATTCTTTGATGTACAGTTACTGAAATTAACACCAGTTAGTTCCTCAGCTTTTGACATCAAATTCAGGCTTCCCTGTCAATGTTTTGAAACCAAATCATCACAGCAGTCTCTGGATTGTAAAATATTTGGATCTCTAGGGCTGGATAAACTATTATCACTGACATTCTCTGCTGAAAGTGGCACATTAACAGTGTGTCTTCGGTGCATTAATTTACTCCTGTGAGGAACTTCGATCATGTCATCATGGTTTCCAAACTCACCACTGCATCCTGTGTCAATAATCTTAGCTTTGCTCTGGTCCAGTGTTTCAACAGATTTTAACTTGGTTTTATCGAAGCTTTTAATAGCTAACTGTGAGGATAGAAAAATGGTGTGTTAGAAGCATTGTCTACTTCCTTCATTAGAGAGAAGTAAATTAATATAGTGTTTCTTGAATATAATTATCATATTAATTTCATGTTATTCTTTATACTGAGAACACAGCCAAGGATTAAAAATAGCGTACTTTGTAGGACAGTAATTATATTCAGTCTACATTTGAGAAGAACCTGCCCCAAGCTACATATACATCAGTACCAAACTGAAAAGAGAATGAAGGCATTCATTCATTCATTCATTCATTATTTTCACTGCACTATCCCAATATCATCCCTAACTCTTCAAAACACCTTTTGTAATCCAAATCTCAAGGTACTTGAAATTAACAGCCATTTCTTTTACCATTAAGAAATGTGTAAGTAGTAACACAGACAGGCTCAACCAGGCACTGCTGAAGGCAAAGGCAAGACTCCCTGCTTCCAGATCTTTCCTGTCAGGGAAGACACCCCGGCCCTCCCCATCTCCTTTAAAGACTCTTTTTGGTCGCTCCAACTATTATCTTCAATTTCCACATCTGGTCCTGATTTTTTTCCATTTCAGAGTGTGTGGCTCTCCTTGATTACTGGCCACTCTGCAAATGTTAAAATAACTTAAGAGAAAAAATAGAACCCAAACATGCTAATGACAGATTTTCTAAGATAAGAACAAAAGGCAGAAATTAATTACAATACCCTTTTACTGAAATAATGGCAACAACCTTGAAAAAGTTTCAGATGGAGCTTATACCCACTAGCAATTTAGAGCTGTATGACTTCACAAAGCCACAAATCACACATGCTCAAAGTGCTATATATCATGGTCACAGTAGTTTTTTGACACCTGCTGTACTTGCGTGACATACTGCCTTCAGCGAGCCACAACGATAAAATCTAAATAACACAATTAAATAGTGGGATATTACCATTAACACTAGAA